AGGAATGATAATTTACATAGTGAAGTCATTAGAATATGAAAAAAATATATTTTGGTAAGCAAAGGTAAACACCCTTCTATCTCATTGGTTGGACTGTTTGCAGCGTGGGGTGTCATGCAATCGGTTCATGCTCATCCACTACATCCTCCACTGGCTGTGCAAGAAGCTCCTCACCTCCAGCTGGAGACTAAGCTTTGGGGCAGGAATAGATATACTACCCCTTTGTCTTTAAATGCTAAATGGAATGTGCTCATTTCAGCAAGGGGATCATACACTGCACTGGACTCAGGAGATGGTAGCTTCTGTGCAGCTCCTTTCTGGGAAACTGTCCTTAGTAAGATGCTTTTGAGAGTAGAATTGAAATGCAGACTATGCTAGCTGAGCAGTAGCCAGTAAAGGAAAACACGTGGCTCATTTGGTTCCTCTTTTTGGAACTGTTCCAATTCAGATATACTTAATGGTGTAAGCCAGAGGAAATCTCATTTTGTTTGAGAGCAATGCAGCCAAGTTTTAAAGGGGAAGTATGGAGAGAACCACAATTAAAAGCAGTGAGGCAGCTGGATAGGTGAGTTCCAGGCACACTCACTGAAAAGCCACATAAACTATCTACCTGGTGCAGTATGGCTTATTAACTCTTTTGGGCTGGCACCTAGATGTTGTTCCCCAGAGAGCTCACAGGAGTCCCAAGAGGAAATGTACTGAACCAGGGGCCATGCTGGAGAACAAAAAGCTTTTCAGAGAAATGTTTCTCAAGTGAGGCCTCAGAGGCCCCAGCTACAGAAGGCTGAGGCAGGATCAGAGCCTGCAAAACGTTTGCACACTAGCCTCTTGGTGCCCTGCTACAAACCAGCAGGTATTCTCCCACCTCAGAGACCTGTTGTATCGGTGTGGGTTTGAGGGAACAGTCCCACAAGTGGGTTCCGTACACCCTATGTAAAGCCCACATTACTCAGTACCTATTTCCTGGAAAACAATTATATCCTTTTCCAATGTTCCTTGAAAACTGTGTGGGTAGATTGTGGGGGTTTTGTGGATTTATTCTACATTACAAATGGCACAATTAAACTTTGCAGCTTGGGGGTTTATTGCATGACAGCACTGAGGTAAGGACTGGAAAAGATCAGGAGTTTACAAATAATCTGCAAATAAAAATACTCAGCACAGTGCATGTTCCTCATTGCCATTACTGCAAATGTAACTTGGTTATGTTAAAACTGCATCCCTGTTTGTCTTTATAGAAATCAAATAAGAGGTGAGGAGCAACATTTTCTCAGCTTGATGTAACCTTACAAAGTGAATATGATAGAGTTCAAGACAGTAACCAAAAGCTCAGTGTAACCAAACCACATCCAATTTGCACTTGGTTTTTGACTGTACATTTTGTATTTTCTGCCCCAAATTTTGTTTCAGGGTGTAATTACAGAAGCTATGCTTTGTCCTGGGGAATAATTCAAGGTTGGATACTGAAATAAATACTTGATCCCCCAGTAGAATAGGTCTAAGAGGAAAATAGGCTAATCACCAGCAGGATTACCCAGGCAGGTGCAAACAGCAGCTGCTCTGTATGCCATTGTATCCACTTATCCATCAGGGCATATCCAGGTTCCCAGACTTCAGTGCTTCTCACTGAACCCTCAGAGGTTGAAATGAGGTGCTTTGATAAGCAGAAAGGAAGGCTTGCACAGGTTATATCTGTATTATCAAGGCGTGCAGTGCAAGCAGCTGGTTCAGAGAACCTGTCTATGGACATTTCAGAAGGGATTATGTAGGAGTATCCCATCCGATACAGTGGATTGAATATCCATGAATGGTCAGCATATTTGCTGTGATTCTGGATCTCACCTTCCACTTCAGTTTAATCTGAAAAAAAAATGAGTTAATGTGTTCTGAGACCATGCTGCAATATGAACCACAGCATTATTTCATAAGGATGACCAAGAGATGTTATCCAATCTGTATACCCAGTGACTTTCTCAGTACCTGTTGTCTCAAATTTGTTCAACATTGCAGGCAGAGCCCTCCTCACCCCCAGGTGAAGGCTTGGTTTTTGCCTGATGAGTAATGCAACTTTCTAGATGACCTGAAATTAATTTTACAGTTTGTATGTTTTTCAGTTTGGAAAAAAAGTTGCAAGGCTTGGGTGTTACCAAAGATGGTAGTTTAAGCTCATAACAGCATGTGGTCTGTGATTATGTTCTCCAGAAAAAATAGAAATAGGTGATTTGAGGGGACAGAATTTCACCCAGCTAACTTCTCAGGGGTGCTAGGCTGGTTGCAGGTTTAAGTATGGTTGGTTAGCACTGATTTCCAGACAGAGCATGTGGTTAACAGAAAGGTTTGTCCCTGCCTTGCTCCCTGGCGCAGGTGCTCCCCACAGGCTGTAAAACCCATCACAGTGACATGAAATGGCTTTCAGCAAAGATCTGCATCAGATGTGCTGTAGGCTGAGAAATCTCTTCTCACTTTGTAACAGAATTAAGACACAGTAATAGGATGGTGGAAGAAAGCTCTCTCTTCTTTTGCATGCATGGTGTCTGTTTTTCCAGGATTTCTGCCCTCTTGACTCAGCAGAGTGCTGCTTTCATTAGCTCTAATTTAAGTTAAAGGTTTAATATTTATCTGTTCTTAAAGTGAAACTGCTTACTGTCAGAGTGTAAAAGCAATAGCAAGAAATAACAGCAGAAAAGTCCATTTCTTCATAATAAATGCTTTGTATCTACACTAACTTTCACAGTCTTAAACATAAATCAAGATACCCAGGCACTGAAAACGTTGCAATTTAATCCACATGAGACTCTTCTCTGTTTTAAGCCAAGGTAGAAACTGGAAAGTGTTTAAGATAGAGCTCAGAAATGCAGTCAGACTCTCAACAACGATTTTGTGGCTTCATTTTCTACTATGTTCATATGTTGAATACTCTAGAAAATGGGCTCTGGGTTTGCATTTCCCTCTAGTCTTGTGCAGCAAGACATTAAATAATAGCATTTGTGGCCTAATCTGCACTTTTATACGTTTTTTTCACTTGCTTAATTGCATTAATGGAAAGAGGAGGATGGTCTTGTGGTGAGGACAGAGTACTGGAAGTCAGGTGATCTGGGTTATATTCAGAGTTCTGCCAGAGGCTTCCTGTGCAGTCTGCTGTAATCAGGTTTGCTAATATATGAAATGAAGATAATGACATTTCCCCTCCTTACGAGGGTGTTGTGACACTTAATTCATTAATGTTTGTAAAGTGCTTTGTGCTCTTTGCTTCTAAATGTGCTCTTTACTGTAATAATATCTTATAGATGGTATTAAATTTGAGAATAATGCTACTTTAGTGCCTCTGCACTTCAGTTGGCTGAAGTGTAGTAAAAAACATTATTTCCATGTATTTTATGAGCTACTGGAATTTTTTAGACCATTTACTTGAAATTTAGCTAATATAGTTACAGTTACAAAATGTCAGTACTATGCCCACTTTTTTTCTGTCCGTTCACTATGATGAAATATTTAGCAATAATCAAGACTGTCTTGTTCAGACTAAAAGGAGAAAGAAAGAGTTTGGCATAAATACTTGGCTGCTTGACTTCCAGCTCTGCTATTCAGCCTGCTCTCTACCCTGGTAAATCACTGAACAGCTCTGTGTCCCAGTGCAAAATGCAAAGAAAAATTGAGCAAGAAAATAAGTAAACAAACCAAACCAAAACAACAATAGGGAATTTAGGTATTAGCCTAAATTGTAGCAGTACTACAGGACCAAGCAACTGTATAATTAATGTAGCACAGTTAAAAACAGACAAGAACTTACAAAATCTCTGAAGGTTTGACAATGTAACTTCCAGTAAATTAACTACAAATCACACGGCTGAATCTCTGTATTGCACAGGAAAAATACTCAGCTAAAATTCTCTTAATGTGCAATACAGTATGTTTGTTAAAGCAAATAGAAGTTGTGAAAGTAGAATAAACTGCTACAACTGATAGTATTATTAACATTCGTTATGCATATCTGGATTTTTCAGAATGTGGCAGTTCACTGAAGTTCTGCTCCTATATGAAATACAGTGCTTATCAGAAAAGTGTAATACATGAAGTTACCTGGTTTTAATAGCCAGTGAGAATTACATCAGGTGAAGAAAAGAATTACAAACTTACCGTAAGTAGAAGAAATTCATTCAAGGCTGTACAATGTTTGTCAGGCAGTAACCAAGCTGCTGGTACAGTACAAGAAAAAGCATACACGTCCTCTTACAACCACTGTCCAACATGACATTAGTAGGAAGAAAGGAAAGCAGCTGACACTTACTATCAATATAAAAGTTCCCAGGAATTCTGAGAGGGCTTCTTTAGCCAAGCTGTTCTTCAAGGCAAATTTCTCCTTTAAAGTGCTTCTGCTTTTCCGGCTCATTTTGGCTTCTTCTATTGCTCTGGTGCCCTAGTTACAAATACACACAAAATTTGCTCTGTATTCGTCCCTGCTTCAGCTGAACTTTGACACTTTTACTTATACATTGAAATATGAGATTTCATCTTGTACAGCCAGTGAAATCATCTGACTGCAGGCAGTGACAGAACCAACTCAACATGCCCTAACAATTCATCATGAGTTTTCCATTCTGTTTCTTCTCTGACTACACTTCTATTTATACTGGATAGATAATACGAGTAAGTTCACCGTCAGAACTCTTCTCTTTTTTTTCTTGCACAATGGATTAATAATTACCTTTCCTGCTATGTTGCTTTTTTTTTTCTCCTCTCCCAAGTAAAAATGAATAAAACGTTGTTCTTGTCACCCTGATTTGAAAAGGAAAAGCAAAAAGAGAAACCACAAAGTTAGGAATTAAAATATGGTTGAAAATTTCTCTGTGACCTAGATGGGGATTTAAACCATGCTACTGTTGGCTGTTCAAAAACTTTTCAAAGGAAGGTTGTAAAAGTGAGTGAATGCTCTACCCTGTAAACAAAAGCTCCTGTCTTGTCACTTCCGAGGGATTTCAGTGGATAATGAGGAATCTTGCCTGTGATGTGTAGCATGTTGAATTTGTATATACACTCACAATGCTTTTTCTGGACTAAATGCCTTGTTCTCTAGTTACCTGCCCTGTTTACAAAATAGCAATGAGGCAGAGTAAATTAGGAACATTTAACGAGATCTGCTTTGGTCCAGTGGCTCCCGATGTCGCTGTACAGCAAGTGAGGCACTATACGTCTCCAGTATGTGTTGCTTAAAAGTGCATAGGTGCTACAATATGAAGCTTTACACTGTTATTTTCCATGGTTTTAGACATGAAGTTGCTGAATATCTGAGAAGTTGGGCCTCCTAGCGAAAAATATTACTCTCTTAATCTCTTAAGCATCTTGAATAGTTTTATCACCTGTGGTACTGACTTGGCTGACATGCTGTCTGGTTGATTTTCAAGTATTTTCTGCCAATTGACTTGACACCAAAATCTTAGCATGGTTCTGGTAGATGATTTCAGCATGTGTTTCAGATGCCTGGTGCCTTAGTTTGTATCTGTACTAAACCTTTTTCGCCTTGATGATAAATATTTTTAGGCTTGTCAGTACTGTTTGCTGTGAATAGGACAGAGCTGTACCAGATTAGGTAAATGAGCCACTTCTGTCATCCCATTTTTGCGCCTCCTTGCCTCAAGCCAGTACCTGATGCATGTCACCTGCAGCTGCAGTCACCTCACTGCCAACAGTTTAATCCGTTGAGCACTCAGTTCGCCCCCACCACCCAGTTGTCACCCGTAACTGCTTTTCTGTGCCCTTTTACTCACCTTTCTCCACCTCTGCATTCAAACACCACTTCTGGCAGGGTGGGCACCTGTGCAGCAGCAGGCACAGGGGGTGCTGTGGGTCCTGCACAGCAGGGCCCGCCCATAGCGTGGGTCAGTGCTTGCCCTGACAGTGGGGATCAGCCTCTGGGAAGCCCCGGAACATGGCCTGTGTAGGGCAGTTTGGAAACCTTTACCCTACACCACTGCAAAACAAAGTTATGGTTCAGGACCTTAATTATCACAGCATACTTAAAGTATATGTTAATTATGTCTGTGAGAGGAGTCTTTCAGAATTATGTATACAGCAGAACTGAGGGAGGATGCTCTGGAGGCCATTCAGTGCAGCAGGA